CCTGATTTCCCTTCTCGACGGCTCTCCATGGGAGATTCCCGTCAGGAGGGACCTCCTCTCACAGGCGGAGGGCACGATTTATCACCCTCGCCCGGAGCTGTGGAAGTTATGGGTGTGGCCCCTGAGGGGGCAGTGTCTTGATTCACACTCCATAAGCAGCACCATTCCTCTAATGCAGCATCATTGCAGAATATTGAAGCATTCCTGCTGGATCTGCGCAAAGATTGCTTTGTGACGCTAAGCAAGGTGCCTTCATTTAGCAAACCAATCTAAATCCATTCATGCTAATGTATGCCACATCCATGAGCACAATCCACACGTAATGACCACTAAACAAACACTCGCAGCACTGCTGGCGAAAAATTTACGTTCTTTTCATATTCAGATCGACCATTGGAAGACCTTCTCGAATTCAAACTCACCAGAACTTCTTCGGCCTCCTGATTCGGAAGGGAGAGCAAGGCATTGTGGATCTGTCAGACTAATTGAGATCTGTGTTCCTTACTGAAGGTCTCAGGCAGTCACTTACAAGAGGCCTACAGACGGGATTATGGCCTAATTCTGGATCACAGTGGTCAGATCCTGTCTCACTCTGACAAGCTAATGAATCTTCTTCCTTTAAGTATCTTCTTCTCAGACTCTTTCAAAGACTCAAAATAAGTATCATACATACATTTTCATATATTTTTGATAAATTACCACTATATATAGACCATTAAAAAAGATACATTTTCTATAATTGTAAGTTCTCTACCTTACTTTGGTATATTTGACAACTGATCATATTTTGTATCCTATTCGCACAAGTTCCAAAATATATAAACAAACCGCAATTCCAGCAATGGACTACCTATCAAAGTCCCATCACAAAGCCACTGAAATGTGATGTCAAAGGCTGCGATCGCCATCAAAAATCAGTGCCATAAATCTGAAGAAAACCTTAAGTTGTCCTCAACTGCTCTGTGCCTTCAGAAGAAAACAGTGTGGAAGAATGGACGCGGTAGGTCTCTCTTCCTGCAGGCTGTTTGCTACAGAGGCGGAGACTGATGCAGGCAGGGTCCTGAGGTTACACGTGGAGGGACGGATGCTGTCGGAGCCGGGAATCTGGTTTATCCCATGGGTTCGTTAGGACCGACCTTGAGGCTGCTGTCCATCTGCGCCTGGCATTCTGAGCAGGCCTTTACACACGGCCTGACAGCACACACAGACACACACACACACTCTCAGTCACAGAGACAGGGGCGTGAGAGTGTCGCATGTGCGCCTCAGCCAGTTCGTCCTGCCAACACTGCAGAGCTGTCTCCCGTCGCTGTGGCAACAAGGCAGCAGGACTGCAGTGTGTCCTCTGCGCTCCGGACCATTCTCATCCCAAAACCACTGCCCGAATCAAAAACATTTAATATGTCTGTCCTCGCACTGTACGGCTTTGTGACACTCCCTGAGCAGAGTCAAACAATCCCACATCTTGACATTTAAGATTTTAGGAGTTACAACCAACAGTACACAAGTTAAATTTTAAAAATGGCTCCCTATCATTTCATGAGTTGGAATTTGAATCTATCCATCTGTCTATCTGTTTTTCTCACTATCTACTGTATCTGTCTGTCTATCCGTCTATTCATTTTATCCATCTAGCTATCGATCTATCTGTCTGTCTGTTCATCTATGTCTGTCTGTCTATCCATCCTTCTATATATCTGCCTATCCATCTCTGTTTATTTGTATGACTGCCTGTCTATATATCTATCAGTCTATCCATCTGTCTGTCTGTCTGTCTGTCTATCTATCTATCTATCCGTCCGTCCGTCCGTCTATGTCTGTCTGTCCACCCACCCAGCCATTAGACCATCTTTAAAATTCAATGCTTATTTCAATGATGATTCAGTGCTTATGCCAATATTTAAATCTTTCCTTGAGAAAAAAATGATAAAAAAACAAATTAGAGTTATATGAATATCTTTGAATTTCAATTAATTTTAAATTAATTAAATTCATTCATTTTCATTTATTCCTTGAAATTGTATAGCAATGCTGTATCCTCTTTGATTTTTCTAACCTAATTAAAACTCAGGAACTGAATAAAAAATTTAAATCTAAATTCAGTTCTGAATGGTGCACATCATGCAACCAAGAAGGTTTTTTAAAAGCAGCTTTAAAATGGCAATAAGCTGGTATTATGAAGGAAAAAGCAGCTACAACACTAAAGGACCTTTGAATGGTTTCCTTCCAAGTCACTTACAGCAGACAGAAAATTGTCTTTCCTCGGTGTCCAGGCTGATACCCTTGAGCAAAACAGCATAAAAGCTTGTGGTTTCTGGAATGGCTGTTTCAGGCTATGGCTAAGTTACATGAAAAAGACAGCACTTACCACAAACTCCTGGCTCTGGAAAATGTCTTGTCAACTCTGAAATGACAAAAAAAAACTTTTTTAGTTAAAGACAATTCCTTGCACCTGTTTTCTCTCTACATAGTACAACCAGTCCCACAAATAAATAAACCACAGTCCTGACATCACAGTTGTTTGTGTGGTATTTAGTTTAAAAACTTCTTAGGGACTATCCTAAAAAAAGGGCATTTTAACAATATAGCCCAACATTGTGAGCATACATATATAAATAAACACATCAGCATCCCTTCATTGAAAACCCATAGCTTTTTGGTTACCAATGCCCCTTTAGAAATACGGAGAAATTTGCAGGCATATTCATCATTTATGCTTTATTCTGTATTTAAAAATAAATTTTCTTGTAATAGGGGAAGTGATACTGAGGGGGGTCATGTGATCTCAACATGGCAGTCATCCTAAGGGGGTGACCTTTCCCCCACAGAATAAAACAACATATAAAATAAATAAAATGATTTGAGCAATTTGTTTCTAAAGTAGAACCATTTGTTCTCAGTTGACATTTAAAAGCAATCTATCTCCACTAAAAACACAAAAAAGAGCTAGCAGTGACTGAAACAGATGTTAATATTTAAATAATTAATTTTTTCCTTATACTATATAAAAAATCTGCCAACACACATTGTGTGGAGAAAATGTTGACTCAGGCATCATCCTAGACACCAGCAGATGGTGTTGTGATGCAACGCTCGCTTGTCAACTGAAGAATTATAGTGTAAAACCTGCACTTCTTACATGCATCACTGAAACACAGAAGATTAAAACTGCTTACCATCTTATATTGCATAACACATGGGACATACATTTAAATAGTAAACTAAAATAAGCAATATGCTCTGCAACTGTTAATTTATTTTTTTTACCAGACATATCAGTTGTTCTGTACGTGTTTCTCCTGCTGCTGCTTAGATACTCTCATATTTCCAGTGTGTTTTGCTTAAAGTGCACATCCCCCTGTTCAGTCAGAAAGGCGGTAGAGTCCGCAGCTTTATGGCAATCCATCTTTCCAGGAACCTGTCTGTCATGGATTAGGCTGCATACTATTAGGATTCATACTATACCGGCTAACATCTGTGGTATTCCAGACCTAGATCCAGAAATAGACGCAGAGTTGTTGCTCTTAGACACTAAAGCACTAACACAATGTAAATGGACTGAAAGTATCACTTATAAAAACCATTACGCCTATGGGATGTCCCCACTTTTCACAAAAACAAACCTGTGTGTGTGTGTGTGTGTGTGTAAACTTGTGTGTGTGTGTGTGTGTGTGTGTGTGTGTGTTTTGTTGACAGCTGTGGTACAGTGGTCTTTGAATTCACTATCCCGCTTCACCTCCTCATAATAGACAAGAGGACAATCAATGTCACGGATGTTGAGTTTTCTCTGACAGCCTCTCATTTCCAATAAGACAGCTGATGTTAAACGCTGACCCCTTTAGTGGCATTCAGAGTCAAGTACATCAACGGATGTTTCTACAAAGGTATAGTGCTAAAAGAAAACTATGTTACCTGTTATTTATAGTAAATCCTCACTGCAAGTCCATACATGTTTGATGGCACTGAGAAAGCAGAGGCAATGTGGGGTTTCAAAAGGGGAGATCATTGTTTCCTTTTTTATTTTACAGGCAATAGCCTACACCTAGCTTTGCTAGCAATGATAATGTGCCACAAATCTGTATCTGTTAACACTTGTCATGTACTATTCAAAATGAATAAAGGCCAGTCACAAGATCGTAGTCACAGTTCTCATGAGTTCTCAAGGTGGTCTAAAACCAGCAAAGTATTTTGTTTAGGAGAAAGAGTCTCACATATACTGCCACACAGCTTCACAGCTTCACAGTTTCACTCTGACTCATGGCTTGTTTTTTGTCTGGTATTGTCTGTGTATTACAAAGGAAGACAAAAGATGGCTTCCTTAATTCAAGTCATTTGAAAGGTCTGATAAAAGATCCATCTCTCTATTAAAGAGAGGCTTTGTTTCACTGTTTCATTACTGGAACAAAAGCGATCACTGATAAAAGTTCAGTAGGTTCAGTAATTAACCCTCAGCCAAACTGAAATACATTATGTTTTCTAAATTTTTCCACTGAGTGTAGGTGACCTAAAGTACAGTGAAGACCTTGGCTTAAATCTCTGTTGCCTTTAGACACCAAGCCCAAAGTATGTACCTTTGATTCACACTTCACTAAAGTTAAAAGATCATTTATTCACCCTCATGACCTGATACAACGTTTGCATAACATAACAAATGGATTTTTAAATAAATCTCCCCCTACACTGTACACTACTGTTCAAAAATTGGGGTTGATATGTTTTTTTAAACATGTTCACCAAGGCTGCATTTATTTATATATAATTGAACAGTACTATTGTGAAATATTACAATTTAAATTAACTGTTTTCGTGTTTATATAATTTAAAATGCAATTTATTCCTCTGGCAAAGCAGCCATTACTCCAGTCTTCAGTGTCACATGATCCTTCAGAAATCATTCTAATATGCTGATTTGATGCTCAAGAAACATTTCTTATTATTAGTAATGCTGAAAACAGTTGTGTTGCTTAAAGGGGTCCTATTATGCTTTTTCACTTTTTCAACTTTAGTTAGTCTGTAATGTTGCTGTTTGAGCATAAAAATTATCTGCAAAGTTACAAAGTTCAAAGTCCACTTCAAAAGGAGATATTTTGTTTAACAGAAATCACTTTTCAAAAACTACAACGAACAACTCGTTTGGACTACAACGCATATTTTCCGAGATTTGTGATATCACAAATATCGACGAATGGGACGAGACCTGGTTGAGCTGCACTAGAGAAGGCAACGAGTGTTATCACTATGTCAGAGACGCGCTAGTTTTCACAAGGCAGACGAACTTAGAGTGGTTACAATCATCCGGGTTTAAATCGCGCTCAAATTGATTTGATTTTGACGCAATATTTACACTGAAGCTGCAGGCGGCTTTGTAAAAGAGCATAATAAGACCCCTTTAATATTTTTATTGAAACTGTCGTACAATTTTTCATTCTTTGATAACCAGAGAGTTCAAAACAACAGCATTTATTTGAAACAGAAACGTTTGGCAAAATCTCAAATGAGATTATCAGCAAAGAAAAAAAACAATAGCATTTGATTTTTTTACATTTTAATTTTGGGGTATACTACTGTAAGTTCTTTCAAGCATACACAAGTATTCTAAACTAGACCTTGGGCAACTTACTCAATAGCTGTTTTTATTGATTTGTGTGTGTGTGCTGGTAGGTTTTTATTTTATAGTTTGATCCATTTATAAGAACAGTCCACAAACCTCAAACAATCCACACAATCTGTTTGACAAAAAGAGACAGAATTCCCGTGTGTGGATTAAAAAACATAATTACTGTCAGTTGTGATGTCTGTACTGTGAGGAAGCTCATAGTCTCTCCAGTTTAATTAGCTTTGCCAGCAGTTAAAAGCCCCAGTTGCTCAAACACATAAACGGCACATCACTCAAACACACCCAAAAGACCACGAGAGATTCAAACTATGGTGCCATCAACCTGTATGTAAATGATGCCTTGACAGATCAATACATTTTATTGTTTGCTATTCACAAGCGCTAAGATTTATGATGTTTATGAAAGTGTCAAATGGTCACAAATCAGCGCTGCCAACAAAAGATCAGAACTCCAGTCATGTGTTAGCAGCCCACAGGAGAATCATAAAACTTGATATTTTTTCATCCTTGGACTCACGTTCACCTCCTCTCCTGTTACACAGAATCCTCATAAAGGGGAAATTGAGTCTGGGTGTGGTAAAACTCTGAAGCAAAGCTTTGACTGAGCCAAAATATCCGCAGAGGATTACAGCTCAACGGCATGCATGAGAGACTTAAGTAATTAGCCGGCTAAAATTAACAGATGTATTAAACACACACTAAGCCAAATATTTGCTTGAAAATATAAATGATCTTTTGACATCACAATTCTTTTGCAAATATTCAAAATGAAATATCTGCACTTATAAATTAATTAAAAATGCACCTCAACGGTTCATTCTGAACTTTATCTTGCCAACATCAGGCGGCTTCCTTCCTCTTGAATACTGTGCTTCATGCAGAAATACATTTTATGTAGGTTAATTGGATGGATTGCTTTTTAATTGCAAGTACATCATGAAAACAAAGATAATACATTATTCTAATCAGACATATCAGTTCATGGAAGTCTGTGTTCCTTTATACTGCAGAACTAGAGTAAGGATGTACAATTCATCACTACACTGTAAAAAAAATTCCAACCGTATATAGTAGGGGAATTTACCGTTAACCATTTAACAGGTTTTTACTGTAGCATTTTTACAGTCTTTTACCGTAAAATTCACGGTCATTTTTTACAGTGTAGAATTCTGAGCAAAAACTAGAGGGTTTCCTGAGTCCTACAGATAGCCTGGGGCCCTTTCTGACAGTATCTTCTGAATTAATGAAATAACGTACCACAGCTGCCCTCAAACCTGTGAGGAACACAAAATTTATTAAACGAGCAGGTTGTGTTAGCTCGGATTTATAACACTACAATAAAAGTTTCGGAGTGACTGAGTGGAGGAGACTGAGACAGAGGAGACTGTCAATTTTGAGGCCGGAGAGGATATTTACTCATGAGCTACACAGGATAAAGTGACTTACTGAATCAAATGTTAAAGCTGACTTGGCTCTAACACAAGCTTGTTGACCATCATACGTCTAAGCGTATGATCCCTCTGGTAAGGTAACGTGGTGCAGGCGCATCATAAATCATGTCTTGAACTGGAGTAGACAGCACAACTTATAATTTAGAAAGCGCAATTCACAAGCATCATCCACTTATGGTTCAGTTCATCTCCAAAGGAATGAGAACTTTTAAAAATAAATCAATTGAGAATAAAATAAATAATTAAAATAAATAAATAAAGTGTGCTTATGAATATGTTTGTTAGCCTGTTAGCTAGTCCGGGGTGTTTCCCCTGCCCGATAGGCTCCAGCATCTC